AATTTCTTTGTATACTTGACATTTTTTATTTTTTCATCATGTTGAGAATTTTATGTCATCCATGACTTTTTTTTTTTTTTTCTTGAGATGGTTTTCTAAGCATAGCTTAGATGTGGCACCCTGTGAGGATTGGACTCATTATTCAGGTCATTCAGTACCCGGTTGTATTATAATTTAGGTGCTGCCTTGTTCCTCGTCAATTTCTCTAGTCTACATATCACTAAATTGTGTACAGTAGGTAGGTATGCAGTACTATAACTTTTCAGTGTATATTTTTAATATATTCTAACAGCTAAAAAAAAAAAAAAAAAATTTGGTTTCTTTTCTTATTCTTTTGGAACATGTTCATGAAAACCAGAACATCTTTTTTACAGTATTTTTTTGTTGAAATCCTTACAAAAATTAGATAACTGCCAGATTTTAAACTTTCAGGACTTGTTCAGAAATGAAATTTACTAAATAATTAAAAGGCATTTTTAATATAATTCAGGGCTTTTGGTCAAAAAAAAAAAAAAAAAATATATATAAAATATATATATATAATATATATAATTTTTTGGAACATATGAAATATATATATATATATCTTTTTATATATATTTTTTTTTTATATATATATATAAAAATATATATATATGCCAGATTATAAATATAGGACTTGTTCAGAAATGAAATATATATATATAATATATAATATATATATATATTATATATATATAATATATATATATATATATATATATATATATATATATATATATATATATATATATATATAATATATATATATATATATATATATATATATATATATATAAAAATATAATATATATATAGTTTTATATAGTAATATATATATATATAAAATATATATATATATATAAAATATATATATAGGTTTCTTTTAAAATATATTTCTAAAAATATATATTTGGATAAAATTATTTTATAATATAAATATTTATAAAATATATATAAAATATATATTAAAATATATAACTCTAAAATATATATATATATAAAAATATATATACTGTTTTATATAAATATAAAGTCATTTCCTTAATAATTGAAAAAATATAACAATCGGTTTATATATATATCAGATATAATATAATATATAAGGTATATATATATATAACAACATATATATATATATTTTATATATATACATATATATATAAATATATTTCTTGTTCCTATCTTTATATATATATAATATATATATATATAATATATAGATCCCATATATATATCTATAATATATATAATATATAACATATATATCATAATATATATATATATATATATATATATATATATATATATATACACATACGTATATATATATAATATATATATATTTTGAGTTACAATTTCTATCTTTTTTGTTATATGAATATATATACACATATATATACATATAACTATTATATTTTATATATATATATCTATCTATATATATATATATATATATATATATATATATATATATATATATATATATATAAATTAATTATAAGTTGATATATATATTTATATATATGTGTATGTGTATGTGTATTTTTTATCTTTACAGCAAACTAGCTACTTCATTTCTCTAATTTAGTAAACTTTATTTATTTATTTAATTACAATTTAAAAGAAGTTTAGATTAGAATTCATTTTAAAATTAACTACAGTTTTAATTACAACTTTAAAATATTTTCATTATTAGTTTTTATAGACTATATTTCCATTGAGCACTATTTTGTAAAAATAAAAATATCTATAAGAACACCGGATTATATATTTTAAACGGAACACTGATCTTATATAAAAAATTTCAGTTATCTGTTTGGATTAGTTGTGCTCTTATGTCCATCGTCTTTTCATGTTGAATTTTACATGTTCTAATGTTAATTATGTTTAATGAAAATGTCCTGAAGATGGTCTAAAATAGACCGAAATGTCCGGCGTTGACTTTTATATTAACATTAATACAGCATAATTGCATATTAAGATTTTTGTTCGTTTTTTCTGTATATTTTTCTTCATATATATATATATATTTTAATAGTATAGCTGGCCACTCATTTGAGGATACCTATCTACTAGGGAAGTTAGCCAATCCCTATTGCAGATACTTGCTCAGACACATTTGTGTTTATTCAACAGCCACAGAACCCACCAGTGGTTTATACTGCAACTATGATGAGCAGACCTTCGTTACAGTTTCTGAGAGAGAGCATATTATCTAGCATGATCAACAATCTGAACAAGGCCAGCACACTCAAGTACTCAGCTATGGTGACATGTGACATCATGCTGGCACAGCTATCGACAGCCCCAAGGGTTCCATCTACCCAATTTCACTCACAAGGCTTGGGTCAAGCCAGAATATGGTTTTCAGGTACTTTCCAAAATAGGCCGCATGCTGGAATCAGTCCCTCCAGTTCAATAATATCAGGAACTCTCCTTCCTGTCCAGTTGACCATGGTTTTAACCACATGCCATATTATTATTATTGGAACGAAGCGTCTGCTAACATGTACTGTTGATATAAGTACCACTGCTTCTGCTACCATGAATATTACTACTACTGTTACTACTGCTAAGGAGGAATGCCACTATAAACTTTAAGCCATGCATAGAAATCTTATTTCCCCCATCACAAGAGTCGTATATCATTCTGAGACAATTTAACAAGTTAATCATAACACACTGTCCAGAATCCGGTGTATGCATTTTTACATCAATTACTTTTCTTTTCTGTAACCCATTTCTTTTCTATACTATTCTGCTATATAAAAAACATTAATAATTCAATCATTGAATTGTTGGTTGTCGTATTGCAGATATTGATTTTTTTTTTTTTTGCTGCATTATAAATTTCTTAGCACAGACTCTTCAGTGGGCCGGTCGAACAATCTATGGATGCCCAGCGGGACCTATGGCCACTCCCCTAAGTTCGATTAGGACTGAGTAGACACCTCAACCCAGAGAGAAGATATCAGAGGGCTGGGGGAAAAAAAAAAAATCAGAGGATTTATATTAATGGAATTAAAAAATTTAGAGTGAAAAAATTCATACAAAATTATAATACCAACTGAATACTTTGTAGCTTATTCCCTTAATTCAACAGCAGTCTCTTTTCTTTAGCTTTTAATCAATGATTTACAAATTTCCATTGGTATTTCTCGCTTGCATATTCTCTCCAGGATATTTGTCACAGCTCTTTTATGAACTTGAATTTTTAATAAATGCTACACATTCTCTATTGGATTCAAGTCTGGCAGCCAACAGCTATTCAAGTGTATTTGACATTGTTTTCATAGATTTAGCCATATGTTTAAGGTCATTTATCTTGTTGCAAAACCCATTCAGTCCAAAATGTCTTTGTATATTTTAGAATTCATTCTACAATCTATTATCTCAAAATTACTCATACCATTAGCAGAAAAACATCCCCAAACCATACCACCACCAAATTTCACTGTTGGGATTGTTCTTCATGCAAACACTGTGCTGTCTTTTCTCCAAACAGAAGTCCTTGAATTATGCCCACATAGTTCAATTTTTGCTTCATCCATCCATAAACATTTTCCCAGATCATGATTCAGATTTATTCTTATGCTCAAATTTTAACCAGGCATTCCTCTCTTCAATAGCAGTAGAGTTTTTCTTGGAGAATGTGATCATAGTTGACTTTGTAACAATAATGACTGATGCATTTAATTCTTCCTGTATTTCTCAGAGTAGTCATTATCCAATGACTACTCTTTCTTGAATTTTGTGCTGAAATCTTATTGATCTGGGAGAAAATCTACAAGGTGCACCAGATCTCAATCTTTCAGCAGTTTTCACCTTTTTATACTTAGCAATAACAGAACCAATAGTAATAAATGGTATAGTCAGGATATCTGCTATTTTCCTATAACTCTTGCCTTCCTTCCACTGATTGATGGTCAATTCTTTTTGTCAATTTGATAGTTCCTTGTCTTTCCCCATGATGGTAACAGTGTATGATTTATGTGCAGAGATGACCCAATATAAGAAATGAATTGGGGAATGTTCTAGATTGTTCCGGTAATAAGATAATTGGATGAATCTAGCAAGACCTTACAAAGCATTAAATAAAGGTTAATTTAAGCCTTTTGATATTAAAGACATACAAACACTTTATGCCTCAAAATTTTTATAAATAACACAATTTCACTTATAACAAAGCTTTCTAATTGTTTTTTGCATATTGCAGCACTATGCAATGGTGTACAAATAATGTATAGACTATGAACATTGGTACCATTACTGAAGGTCAGAATGATCTTTTTCCTCTCACCATTGCTCAGATGGGAAAACAGTGGAGGCGACAAAATGATTTTAACCGGTCCTCTTCCTAACTGAATAACTCAACGGGTTTTTCAGTGACTCTTACGACAAATGGTGTCAAGATGACTAAATGTCTTATCTAAAAACCTGGGAAAAAAAGAAACTCAATCAGTTTAGTTTTTTTATTTTATTTTGTGAGATGGTTAATTATACTGTTACACTTGGTGTGTGTGTGTGTGTGTGTGTGTGTGTGTGAACAGAAATTTTAATTCATACAAGTTTAGTTAAAGACCAATAATCTAATCTGAAATCATTGTTATGTATACTAGCTAATTTTTATATGGATGAACATGACTAATATTTAAGGGTTTTTATCAAATATAGAACATCTGATACAAAAGCAAGGAATATTAAATTTATCCAAATCATGTAGGTAATATATCTGGAAAAATAATTCTTAAATTGATGTAGTTGTTTAAAATCTACCTCCAAATTCTTTTATAGATACAAAAACTGTGCACACCGAAAAAATTAAGCAAAAAAACAAATTTATTGTACAAAGTATTGTGTGTGTGTGTATTTGCATTTTTATTCTTGAACATGATAGAGACGGGCTGAAACCAAGTTGGGAGGAAAGCAAGAAAAAAAAAAAAAAAAAAAAAAAAAACCTCCAAGCACAGCTGCAGACATTACATTGTTAATTCCTGGAAAAAAAAAAAAAAAAAAAAAAAATTATTAGATTAAGTATTTCAGTAAGAATCATTCTAGCACTATAGAAGCAGCAGAAAAAGAAAAAACAAGAACAGTATTTACATTATTTGCACTATCATCCACATCTTTGTTGCCATATTTATCATGGCCATTTGGCCACTGTACGCTTCAGCCTTCTCCAGGTGGTTGGAATGTCTAACTGAACCCTTTATTTTGCTCACTGAGGTAAACTGTTCTAGTTTCATATGCCATGTCTAATGGATGTCAGTTATCAGTTATTTCCTGTTAATTCCCCTCCCCAAGTTCTCCATTGCCATAACCAGGTATGTGAGCAAAATAAAGGGTTCAGTTCAACATTCCAACCACCTGAAGAAGGCCAGAGCATACAATGGCCGAAAAGTTGATAAATATGGTAACAAAGATGAGGACAATAATAATAATGTAAATAGTGTACATAATACCTCATATCAAAAATATACAAAGACAATAAAAACATTAATAATATATCTCAACTGAGCTAGTAGCTTTCAGCAGCAATAAGTACCAATTTTACTCCTCTTAAAACACTTATCTCTTACAACTTGAGATGTCTCCTCAACCTCTAAAGCAAGTTGTTCTCTCTCCTGCCTTACTGAATACAAGAACTGAAGACTGGATTGATAAATATAAAAAAAGGTTTAAATTGTCTTAGCATTATGCATGTTAGTCTTCATCAATTATTCCAGACGTTTCATCTTAAACACAAGTACCAGTAAAAAAAAAAAAAAAAAAGACAAATTTAATTAAAATAATTTTTATACTCACCATAATTGCATTGACAATGTCATTATTATTATTCTTCAATGCTTTTACAGCTTTTACCCGAGATACACTAGCTTGTGACATGACAAGTTCAATATCTTTAGGTTCTACTCCAGTCTCGTCAATCTACAAATAAATGAACATGTATCATTCAATAAAAAAAATCAATTCTATATGTAAAAATCGCAAAGTTCTGAAAAATAACAGTTGCTGTTAAGATGTTATACTAACCTCTTCTTCTTCTTCAGATTCTTCAAGGATTGGCTGTGACAGAGGATTTGGTGCACCATCAGAACACGTTGCTGGATTTTCTGGAGCTTTGAATTTCTCAGCAGCAGCCATTTGTGCTTGCTGACTTAAATCTTCAATCTGAAAAAAAGGGAAGAAAGAAAAACAGGCTACTCTACTATTTAATATATATTAAATGCACAGAAAGAAAAAAAAAAGTATTTTATATGTGAATATTTGTAACAAAAACAATTCAATAACATGAAAATTTACGATCTTAAAAGCACAAAGTAGGTTCATATTCTAAGATTTTAAAATGTAACATTCATAATTTATTAAGAAAAACTATACATATGGCCAAATACATATTTGAAAATAAGGCCATGAATTTATCACAAAAACATGCAAATGACCAAAATTTGTCTGAGCACACTTAATAGGAAAAAAAAAAATCACTAGAATAGCAATTGAAATATATAAGGAAGACATACTATATTTGAAAAAAATACAATAATGCTACCAAACTTTGTGAAAGTGTACAAACCTTAGCTTCACCAAATACAATGTAGGTGTCTGATGCAGGGCTTTTGTAAACATCTGGTCGATTGATAACAAAAAGAATGTTCTTAGATTTACGTATTGTTACTCGGGTAACACCTTGTACCTGTTTAAGACCTATAAGTAGAAACAATATATATATATATATATATATATATATACATACAAACAATACAGGGTGTTCCAGAAGTCTTTGGTCTCATGAGGCAAACTATGACTGATAGATGACACTGGTACCATTTTAAAGCTAAATTCATTTAGTTTTCTGTAATGCTAATGAGCTTTTCATGTTTTTCCAGACTAAGTAATGGCATTCACTCAACCAGAAAGAGACATTTGGCATGATTGAATTTGCAAGAACTGAATCATGCACACTTGTTCGACATGTATTTCATATTATATATATATATTACACACAAGGTGGGTGGTTTAACTGAAAAACCGACTTTTTTCAGTTTTATCCATACCCCCCCACTTAAAAAAAAAAAAAACAAACTACCGAGTGACCACATACAAAAAAAAAAAAAACTATTGAAAAAGAATTTCATATATTAATAAAATTAAATTCAAGGTTTATACCATTTCAAGAGAAAAAGATTTAACAAAAATGTTTAAAACATAATATTGACTAGTTTTAGGAAATAAATGTGAAATGTATTTGTTCATAAAAAAAAAAAAAAAAAAAAAAAAATGATGAAAAAAGGAAATACATCTACTTGTTTGTTTTAAAAAAAAAAATTTTTTTTTTTTGGCCGTAAAATTAAGTTAACAAAATAGCGAGTAAAAATAAAAAAAATATTTGCCAGTTTTGTCTTAATGTTAAATTTTATGAAGTCGGATTTTTTGTAAGTGTTTTCTAGTAATCCAATCACAAAATAAAGTTGTAAACAAGAAAAATGAAAAAAAATTTTATGAATAAATTTGTATTTTTTTTTTAATCTAAGGAATGCACTTAAATTAGATATTAAGAATGATTAAAATAGTTCTTAATTTCAATTTTAAAAATGTGTATATTTCCAGATATGCGAGTTTGTTTTCGACAAATAAAATTGTTTCTATTTAGTGAATATACCTAAAATTAGATATCAAAACAGATAAAGTTTTAATCTCATTTTTAAAATTTGTATATGTTCAAAACTGCAAGTCAATTTTTTTTAAACCCAAAGTAAAAATTATTCTTTTTCAGCCACTTTTAATGCATTAATACAAACTTCTGTCAGAGTCAGTCGAAAGCTCTTTTACCACACATTTATTACTATCAGTTGTTTTTTTTTTTTGCTTACTTTATAATTTTTGAAAATTCACTTCCACAGGTCAGAGAACATCTTCCTAGTTGTAGTTTAAGGTGTCTTCTAATTGAGTGTACAATTTTAAGAAAATTGATAAAGATTGGTCACTTTGAGTTTGTGAAACAAATTAACATGTAAAATTTAGAAAAAAATCATATTCGACTGTTCAAAGCAAAATACTGTTTTATATCTTTTTAAGCTTATGTTAATTTTAGGTTGTAGCTGTAATTTTATCAACAAATTTGTTCCTTGTTCATTATCACTTAGCCGCTGATGATCCCATGTGGGGAAATCTAGGTAGGTAGTATCTGGCTCATTAGGAGATATATAATGAGTTGACAAGTGTTTATAGTGACAGAAGTCACCGATAGCAGTAAGGGAGAGAATTCTATGGCAACTATTGTCGCCTGCATCTCGAGGGTCAAAAATTGATTCAACTTTAACTTTCTATTACTCTGCTGGAAATTCAAGTTTTTGAAGGAGAAGGAAGAGATTGAGAGAGAGACCAAAATTATATTTACCAAGTTTGGACATGGCTTTCCTAGCTTTTTTTTCACTTCGGCTTTGTTTAGCCTTGCTGACCAATTCTTCTGGCAGTCCTGCAACCTGAGCCACCTAGATCAGGAGGGAAAAATATATATTTCATTGTCCCTTTATGCACACATTAATTCAAATTTACTACTGAAGAGAGTATCATCATTAAATACACAAAATGCTAATTGCACACTTTACCTGACTTTGCTGAGATGGTCCTGGTGCATCTTGAAGCTCTGGTACAGAGTCTTCAGATTTAGTATCGGAGTCAGCATCATCATCATCGTCTACCTCCTCTTTTTTAGTATCTTGGATTGGCTTCTCTACAGCTTCAGTAGGCATAATTGCTGATGAAAAAAAAAAAATAAATAAATAAATAAATATCACTCAAATACTTTTATAAAGAGTAAAGTTTAAAAAAAGTAATGGTGATTTCTCAACAATGTATTTAAATCATTCAGCCTATCTTCATCTTTACTGCCATATTTACCACATTGTACACTCTGGCCTTTTTCAGGTGATAACCCTTTATTGTTCTAATACTATATGCCATGCCTTTTCTGGATATGCTTCAGTTAATTTCTTTTAGTAACTTGACTCAACAGTCTGAATGATGTAAATAGTTACAATCTCAAAAATATAGACAAATAATTTTGTAATATCACTCCATTGTTACTCCACTTACCTTCTCTTTTTAGTATCTTTATCTCAGTTATATATTTTTAATATCTTCAGCAACAATTTTTTTTGAAGCCAACCAATCACTGTCTGGTTGTACTACAGGGGGTCCACAACTTACAATAAAGTGCCATTCCTATGATGTACCGTAATACAATTTTCCATAAGTACTCACCTATGCTAATGCAACAGTAAAGAAAATCTAGGACATAATGTCTAATTTAACTTCCAAGCACTGGAAGAGGTTACTTTGCACTTGAGAGCCATAATAAAGAGCAATAAGATTTCACAAAAACAAAGGAGTGAATATACAATCCAAGGTGGTGTACTACCATGAACCAAGTCACACCACTTACATCATACGTACAAGGTAAAGAGCACAAGAATAATGGAGATTATGAATCATCGCAGGTTGGATCTGTCATAACCCAGGGAATTACTATACAATTAAAACTAAACTGGCTAATTTTCAGATGATCTTAACTGAAACAGATAATGAATTGCGTGTTATTTATAACCACTGATTCTTCATCAATTTAAAGAAGAATCACAATCACATTTGTCATTTCAAGTTTTACTCTGACATATACAAGTTAATTGCAATTTCTAAAGAATGAATGGCTTATTTTTATTACTTCACTATAATAACATTTGAAATACAGGTATACCTCTAGTTACATTGTTTTTGAGTTAAATCATTCTTGATTATACGTAATAGCTATATATATATATATATATATATATAAATAAAAAACAGGTTTAAGTCATTTTATTCGACTTCACATCTGTCCACACAAATATTGAAGTCATAATATCACTAGAAAAGTGTTTTTAAAAGCATATAAAATCATACAAAAATATGTACGTTTACAGTAAATGCTAATTCTCATAAATCACAACAAAATCTGTGTTGTCATCTTATTTGGCAGTTATTAGTGTTTTCCACGGTAATTCCAATATCTACCGTTTGGAGTTGTCGTCAGCGCACTCATGATTCTCACAATGTTGAAATCCAGTTTAGTTTAGGCACAAACACAGTATATCACCTACACTCTCATTAGTTTGCAACTTTATATCTTGCCCCAATGGCTCCTGAGAAAATTCCTAGTGCAAGTGCTAAGCGCCATACTATAACACTAGATGATAAAACGCCATGAAAAAAGTGAAAAGGTTATATCGATTGCACAATCTTTTGCAATGAGCCTGACAACTGTATTGACAATTGTTCACAATAAGGATAAGATTTTTTGCACATATCAAATCTGATGCTCCAGGGATGAAGAATACAGTTATCAATAAGAGGAAAAAATTTTTTTGAAGAGGTGGGACAACTCCTTTCTCTTTGGATTGATAGGTTGAATCGTCAACATGCTGCTAATAGTCAAGATATCATTCAAGCGAAAAATCCTCTGATCTTTCCTCTTAATAACAAACTTTTTGATAATAAAGCTTGGATTTTTATTAAGTTTGGGACCTTTTTCATCATGCTATGCTGTTTTTTTAATGAAAAAGCATAGGCACCTAATGTAAATCGTCCCCCCCCTCTCTCTCCTGAAACAGCTTACGCAGCACTGAAAATCTGAATTATAAAATAAAAAATTCAATTTTGTGAATAAATTTTTTACTAGAATTGTTTTCATTTTTAAAATTTTAATTATAATAATTGATAATATTATAAGCTGTTTAAAATTCTGCATTACTTTAATCCAGTTAGGTGATATTGTTTAATGTAACATGACCCAGTTTGAAAGTATCATGACTATACGTGACATAATCAGAAAATGAAAGCGATGACTAGTAAATTTAAATTCAACATTCCCATAATTAGATTATGGAGAATATTTTCCAACATTTTTAAGATTATATAAAAATAAAAAAGCGTTCACCTGTCATTTTCTTAAATTATGTCTTAACATACAACAATAAGTGTCAACACCTCGTCAAGTAATTTGCAAGGTGTTGAGAAGCACTTAATCACGCTACTGTTGTAATTAATGTTTTACTTTTAAAGATTCTGTATTAATCTGTACATGTTATGTGGTATGTTATCAAGTAAAAAACTAAATTAACTAAACAAATAAATGCAAGGTTACTACAACCCCCCTCCCATTCTGTATTTTGAAAAATTTTTTTTTTTTTTTTTTGATATGAATGTCCATGCACAATAATCAGGAAAATAGGTGGTAACTATAGTAAATTTTTAAAACCTAAGTATCTAGAATGTAATTAAATACTGCTTAGCCTTAGAATATTTTCATAAATTTTTAAGAAGTTCTTTTTTATATACGCATTTTTTAAACCTTTTAAACCACATTGAAATTTTAGTTAATTTTTTTTTTTTAACGTTAACAAGAGACATAATTTTTATTCTTTCACCGCCCTTTTCAGGTGAAAAACACATTAATTTGGAAATTCTTGAGAAAAAAAAAAAAAATAAATAAAATAATAATTGTCAGATTTTAATGTAGGGAACTCCACTTTTTTGGAATAAATTTTCGATACCTAAGGTTTAAAATTAAATTTTAAAAATGAAAAATCTTTCATAAAGATTTCATTTTAGCTTTAATTGAAAGTTTAATAATTAAATTTATTATTTCCATTAAGTAAAATATTCTGGTGTATTTCAGATAGAAATTATATCGATTAGAATGTCAAATTTAATTTTGATTTCTTAAAAGTGGGCGTTTTCTTAATTTTAAGAAATTTGTAAACAAACCAAATTCTTTCAAAAAAATAAAATATATATTTCCGACATGTTATTTTAGTAAAATTAGAAAAGTTAAGGTTAAATTGATCTGATTTGAAATAAATGTTACTTACTTATAGCATAAAAAATAATATACAACCAATTATTAATGATTGGTCATGTTCATCTGATCCAACATTTGATGGACTGCCGATAGACGAAGCAATGACAGCTACTATGGATGACCCAATTGTCAGAAATCTAAGTGAACACATTTTGGGTTTTTAACTACCTAGTAATTTTTACAAATGAACATATTTTCTGCAATTATTTAATATTTTATTGACTTTTATTTACCTTTCAAAGATGCAAAATTAAAAAAATTTATAATACTATAAAATTTTCTTCAATTAATTTTATAATTTAATAACAAATGAAATACCATGATTATTCAATGGAAGTATGTCCTACACTAATGTAAATAAATAAAATAAATGTATTTTTAACTTGTGTGCTTCAACATTGAATTTTTAGAGTTTTCAAATTACTAAGTGTGTGTGTGTATATATATATATATATATATATATATATATATATTTGAAAGCTTATTAAAATCTGCAATGAAAATATATTTTTAAAATAATTTTTTAATATCCCAATTGTATAAAAAAAAAGACAAAAATATGGATGCACAGCTTTGAAATAATAAAACGCGAGATGGAGTTGCTTCCCTTGATAGAGGACGTAACAATAATAAGAAATAAAATTTCATTAAGTTACCCCGTTTCAATTATGAACTGCAATGGTGTTATGTAATTTTTAAATTCTTAGAAAAATATTTCATAACTGAGATAAAATAAAACTATAAAAAAAAATAAATAAATATATAAACGTAAAATTTTATGTGTACATAAAATTATTGAAAGTGTATTTTTTTTTTTAATATAAATCTACCAACCAGATTCACTTAGTACAAATTATGTCACTTCTGTCTTACCATCTGATAAATTCCCCTGACGTAACACTCTTTAACGCGCCCCAAACCAAGTACCACGGTTGGAAATGTCTTAAAAGTTTTTCTGATAAAAATAGTAAGTAACGTTTCTTTCAAATTACATTAAGTATACTTTAAATTTTCTATTTTTTTTCTAAAATAACTTCAGAAAACGGTGTAACTGAATTTAATTTTTTTTTTTTTTTACCGTCGGTTTACAAAGCCAGAAAAAAAAAAAAAAAAAAAAAAAAAAATAGGGAGGATTAAAAATAATATTTGAAAAAATATTCATAAAATACTTTTGGTCTTTCATCTTAATAGTAGCAAACATTTAGACGTTTAAAAAATTGTTTTATCAAGTTTGGGGCCCTTTTTCCTTCATGCTATGCCTTTTTTTTGAAGTAAATCTGCCCCCCGCAATATTTCCAAAATTAGCGTCTGTCACTGGGGAAAAAAAAAAAAAAGCACTAAAATTTGCAATGTTTAATTAAATAACACATTCGCAAAGAGAAATGATTTTTTTTTTAATTAAAGGTTTTAGAGAAAGTTCTAAAAAGGATTAAAAAAAAATTTTCAAAAAATAAAAATTACTTTGATCTTTCCTACATTTTTAATTTTAGACGATAAAATTTCGTTTTCAAGTTTAAGCCAGTTTTTATCATGCTATGCTCTTTTTTAGTGATTTCATGAAGGTACCTGTAAATTTATGAATCATAAAAATGGTTTTGCATAAGGATTTTTTTTTTTAGTATAATTTTTTTTAATATCTTTAAACCAGGCACCACTACTGCTGGAAAATGAGCATATTATTATAAAAAAGGCCTTAAACTTGACGAAAACAATTTTATCGTCAAAATGTTACTATTAAGAGGAAAGAAAATCATTTTTAAATTATTTTTTTAAATTTTTCTGTCTTTTAGAAAACATTCTAATTAAAAAGGTAAGAGTTGTCCATTTACAGAGAAATTCGATTGTCTGTGATTCGTTATTCATTGCGTGTTTACCGTTTCAAAAATATCAAATTATTGGAGTTACCTCGTGTCATTTCCTATGTTATTAAATTTTAAAATGAATTTAAAGAAATTTTATTATTTTGTCATAAAGCATCCTCAAACGTAATTAAAAAGTCAATTCGATAATTGCCGATGTTTATTTCTAAAAATTTCTCGAAATCCCATGAAATTTTTACCATGATTTTCTTTAAAGAAAAAATAATTTAATTCATTCTTGAGTAAATCCTGAAAGTTTGATTAAAATCTGACAATTACTTGAGCTTTTGCAAGAATTTCCAAATCAAATTTTTCACCGGAAAAAAATCTTTCATAAAAATTTCGAACGTGTTAGAAAGGAGTACAAAATTTAAATAATTAAAAATACTTTGTTATTAAGTTTGGATCGTTTTCTCAACGAAAAAGTGGGAGGTACAGTACATTTACTTTACAGTTTTCTTTGTGTGACGGATGCAAACCATTTCTGCATTTAACAGGTAGTAACACCGAGTTAACTCCCTAGGTCCCAAATACGATATTAAAATAATTTAAAGGTAATATAAGAGTAGTAAATTGCAAATTGATGTCTAACAACTTGAAACGCAAAATATAGTCTGCTTCTCAATAGCATCTAACACAGAATTATCTCCCTTACAACGAATGTATGACGCAGTGAGCTGACATAGCCTAAGCGGTCATTTGTGACCACTGAACGATTTTTATCTCAATTATAGAACTGTATTAAAATTTATGTATTTAGATTTTGGGGATTTTTAGTGCTACAGCTATTGATTCAGCATCCAAAAAGACATAGGAATAGATGTCTAATCATTATTTTCTTCAAGGGAAGACAGGTCGAAAAACATTTGGTAGCCAGTATGGTAAAATCTTGAAACTGGCTTCGAGACTAGATATTTAACTTGGGAAATAAAAAAATGCGAAATTACTTGCTTGCGAGTCCACTTTGTAAATAAACGTAACAATTTATTTTAACATATGCCCAGAAAGTCAAACTGAAAACCAAAATAAAAAAAAGTTCCGACACACATAAAAAAAAAAAAAGAGGCAAGTAAGTATATCAGCGTTTAAGTGTTTGAAAGGCTAAAGACAGTCACCACACACAATACCAAAGTACTGTAACAGAAAAAAAATCTAGTTAAAACATTTTTAAGAAATAAAGTTGCACTTTTTCAAAAGAATTGTAAATAAACCTATCAAGAATAAATGAAATCAGCACAGCAAAACTAAAAAAGGCATCAGATAATCAATGGTAAAAAATTTCTTGTGAAATAATTATTACAATACTGACATTATGTTTATTGCAATTTGTTACTTCAATTGGGAAAATTACGATCGAGAAAAAAAACCATCTTGTCCCAACTGGAAGTAAAATGAATCTATCAAAAGGTTGTTTTTAATTTTTAAAAATTACTTTAAACAGAAAAAGATGACATTTTCGAAGTAAATAAGTGCTACTGTTGTGTATCAAAATTAATTCTTTGAAAATGCTAGAACTCACAATCTTTTCCCTAATTGTAAAACAAAATATTGCGCCAAGTCTACAGATTAAGGCATTAAATATCGCAGCAAAAGAGTCGATATTTAAAAGGTGACAATGCTTTTTCTTTTTATCTACAATAAGCATATTCTTTCTATACCGAATAAAAATGCTTTAAAAAAAAAAAAAGCTTCATGACGAACTGGTATCAAGATTGTGCGCAGAAAAATGAAAATGATCGCGCTATCTTTGGCTCATTATTTACACCAAAAATTAAGTTTTTATGCTCCATTAGAGATTTATTTAGGATCTTTAGCTGTATTATGTGATGGTTCTATTACAAAATACGTCTTTAGTATTTTTATTTATATTAGAAAAGAAAAGGCAAATCACTAAAATCTGAAAGTGATACTATATTTTAAGTTTTGTTCATATCGTGATGCTAAGTTGGAATGATCAGATATATAATGAACATTAACAACACCTTAATGAAAACAGATGTTTTAAAAAAAAAAAAATTAATTAAAGCAAAAATAAGAATGTTCAAGCATCTTTAGTAATTTTATAAATACTTATGGGCCACATGATTACACATGGTCAACTAAAGGGTTTATAATTACAGCTATTTCGAAATGAAAAATTAAAAAAAAAAACATAGTTTAGATGAGTTCTTAAATACAGAACATTATGAAAATACCTGTTATTGTCGATGAAATAGCAAAATGGAGATTAAATTATACATACCTGGAGATAACAGATAGGACCAACTGATTACAACAGTGACACACCGGAAAAGGAATTATGTTCTGAATGAACGCATGCTCAATTGAAGTACTCGGACAATGAGAAAGAGTTATATCCCTTGAATAAACTCTCCGTGCACCTTGTAAAATTTCCCACCAGTAATAATTGTGGATGGTCGACTCCAGGTCGATACCTGGATTTTGTTACCTATGTTGATTTTTAAATAGGCAGATCTGTTAACATAAATAACAATCTTGATCTTATCCCTACTTATTTATCTTTGTGTCGGACAAAATAAACTTCGTCCTTTTATTTACTAAATAAAGGTATGTTGGAACATTGTTTGTTTTTTTGATTTTTTTACATTTTTTTATCCTTAACGAAAAAAGTTCTCCAGTACCAATTTTTAAATGATTATCAGTTTTCGTCTGACAGAAATATTTTATTCGGGTATATACTTAAATAAATAATATTTTTTCGTATAGGAAAGAAAAATTAATTCTGCGATCAAATTCATTCAGTATCATATTGTTAAAAATCAAAATAAAAAGGTGACTGTCAAGAAGTGTCAACTACTTTTTCAGTTTTTCAATTGCATTTAAAAAAACAAAAATAAATTATCTCTATCTTAATTTTTCAAACTAGTTTTACAGCATTAAAGGTTTTAATAAAAAATGAATAATAACAACTGCACGCGCATACAAAATTTTAAAAAAGTTTAAATTAAAATTGAATGGGTACTATAGTAATTAATTTCATCATTTTTATTTTAAAATGAATATTTTGCTGATTGTTTTATTTTTATGGCAGCAAACACATCTTAAAGCTCTTTTCTGAATGTAATTAACAAATAGTAGTGCCATTCATGAGTTCTACTATATACGCTTTAATTTTTTTTTCTTTTAAAAACCTATGAAACCAGTTCTCAAAAACAAAATTTTCTTTCTTCATAAATCATGATTGGTTATTTCTAAGTCTTTATTCACCCAGGCGTTTTCATGCCTAAAGTAAAATGTATTCGTTTTCGTATATTTTGATTGTCTTCGACAAAAAAATCAACAAAATAGCAAAATGACTGCATTTGTCCACCGTTGGCTCACTTCTCTTCATCAAAGTTTTCTCCAAAAATGTTATTGTTCAATCATCTGAAGTTCATTAAAAATTAACCAATTTTCTTTTCTTTTTTTTTTTTTCTCTCTTTCGATACAATGACAACAAATGTCTCAATCTTCTATGCGCAAAGGAAGCCGTTAGTCCGCATTCTTACCAAATTAAAATACGTTGAACCTTAAAGCCAACAAATGCTCGTTAATTTCGGGCTTCACTGAATCGTAATGTTCTTGCTTACCTTAAAGCGATTAAAACATTCCATTTAATTTTAAAAGTTCATAAAAATTCTGATTATGCTTTGTTAAAACTTAAAAAAGTAAAGGTGAAAGAAAGTGTGTATTATTACAATATATGAATTGAATATCATTGACGAGTTTGCGAATGACAGAATATGTTCGATAATCCCAACTATGATTTTACTATTCTCGCACCTTGACAACAAATAAATATTTACTTAGTTGCAGGAAAAATACCATTTGATACCGAAAGGTGAGTCGTCTTTATTCAGTTTACTTTACATTGTTACAAGATACGAAATATTTTTATGACATTTGTTGATTTTTTTATGTTGTTTTTATTCACTGAATTTTCATTTACACTGCGACACTTAAAAAGCGTAAAATAGCAGGGTTTAAGTTTTAAAACTAAAAGGTAAAAAACTTTTCAATCAAAGAATTTGTTTTCTTTTTCATCCAAATACAAAATAAAAAAAGATTAATACCATCAATTATTTTTTAAAATTTAAATAACTATGGGAGTTTTTCATTCAAAGGTTTGAAGTATGTCGGAGTTAACTCCTCCTTCAGTCCGTTAACCCTTTCACCAGGGGTCTCTCTTCCCTGGCTATAAATAGCCGCTGACCCTTGGCCTCTATCTCTTTTCTCTTCAGGCCTGTGCACTGACACCTTGAGGTAAACTCTTTTTCCTTCAGGATTTCAGCTATCAACCTCGAAATGTAGTCGCTAACAAGGGATAGCGTGGAAACACGCTAACAATAATATTCACACACGCACGCACATACAGAATATTCACACACTTCGTCCTTTGTACTGTTTCCATGTATTGTAACTTGTTATTAATATATATTTGTATATACATATATTATCGGTCTTGTGTTTTGTTTGCTTTCTTTGCCTTCTTCTTTGGACTTAATCAAAGTCCAACCTTTTTATGTAGTTGGGCTCGGCGGGCAGGAGTATCTGAACCTTACTTGCGTTTCTTCTGCGTCTGACTTCTATCAACAACAGCCACGCCATGAACCCTCAACAAGTGGTAACCGCCACGGCCCCTCTACAAGTAGCTTATCTTTGACATATTTTCTTATTTATTTTAAAATGTTTTTTTTTTAAGATTAACTCTTGAAATTTATGTAAATGTTATGTAGCATAACTTGAATTGAACTGAAATTGTACACTTACTGACTTATTCCTTCACATATCAGGCCACATTTCAACATCTTTCATTATACGTCTCGTCTCCAGGGTATCATACCTTTTTTAAAATTTTCAACGCATCACTTAAACTATGAACTTTGAAAATACATTAATTTGTAAATAGCATGTTTATTTTATTGAAATAATAAGGCATGTTTTGCATACTGGAATAGGGATAGTCTTTTTACTCCTATATAGTTAACTTCCCACTAACAAAAGAAATGTAAAATAAAAACTTAAAAAACCTATATGGCTATGTATTTTATTATCCAACAACATTATATTTAAGAATACATGGTATAAACTTGTAATGATCATCATCACACACATACATGCATACTTACACAGATTCAAATTATACAACAACAAGCATTTTTAGCGATTGCTATGTTTTTCCACGCCCACATTTTATTCACCTGCGATTGGCTAACAAATCACTACTTTTATATAGGACAATTTAGCCATCGCAGTCGTTTCTTTGAACCCTTCGGTTTTGAGCTTGCTTGCTTGTTCTGTTAGTATGAATGTAGTGATCGGTTAATTTTTAACCAATCACATATTTTAGTGCAAGATTAAGTTTTCCTGCATTGCCGTGGCAGCCTACCCTTTTTCCTTAAAAGAGGTGACTTTTTCATAAGTCGTCTGTAAGATCCAGTAAAATTCACTTGTCCATATAAGTCCACGTTCTTGCTCATAACATTTCAAACGGACACACAGACACAGAATTTCGTAACATAAACTTACATTTCTCTCTGTGACTTAGCCAAGTTCAATCCACCAGGACTGTTGATTTCGAACCATTCTATAACACAACACATTTTTGATCAATTGTAGACCTTGTTCTAATATTTTTTTCCTGAACATTTTTCTCTCGAGAACTTTCTTCGAACAATCAATTACAAATCAAAATACAGTTAAAGGGGAACAACTTCTTTTCCATAATTAATACATTGAATACAATTTAATTGCATGTTTGTTCTTGTATGTTATTTCAATATATACTTGTTGATTCACAGTTTGGAGTTTTTTGTTGTTTTCTTGAATCCTGTACGTTGAAAGTATAATAATATAAATAGTATTGGTCTATCTACAAACAGACACCTTTACAATTGGTAACCCTGACATTCCAAAAATAAATCTTTCAACCAATAGTCCCTTACACATTCATTGGATAATAAACACTGCTTTGTAATGGACAATTTATAAATCGCTGCTATGCAACAATTTTATAATCACTATATTTTCATATAGTAGATTTTGTGCACTTTTGGGAGAATCAGATCCCAAGAGCCTTCTTAGCTTAGTAAATATTTTTCAGGAAATATCAGCTTCTAATTGGTCAATAAATACACAAGTGAGCATTGCAATCCACCCACGCACAATATATTTTTCCAGCACGTGACTAAGTCAAGTTTCCCGCCAAGGCGCTCTGAGCCTGTCATGTGATTACATTATCTATAAAAACAAACACGAGTTTGCCTCTCTCTCTCTCTTTCTTCTCTATTCTTGCTGCAAAATGTAGTCCCAGAGAATTATCGTCTTGACCTTGTGGTCAGACGTTAAAGAACATTACCAACATGCATGTACATACGAATATTCACCACAATACGAACTCTTACGAACATTCACCAAAATACGAACGTTCACAATGTGAACTGTCTATGTGCTTTGTAAATGTTTTGTTTAATACATATATATGTTTATATATGTCGGTCTTGTTTGTTTGTCTTCCTTATCTTCAGTTGGACTTAATCCAAGTCCAACATTCTATTGTAGCTAGACCTCCTAGCAGGAAATATAAACGCATGTGTTTTCTTTACATCTTCGCCCCCGGTTCTCTACATAATGGTGACCGTTGACGTAATTTTGCGAAGGAAAGCCATAGTCAACATAATGGTCAACTACAAACTCAAAGTTGAAATTGTGCATCTTAATTTTTACAAAATGTAAAGAATTTAGCAAAAGCCAAACCATTAGTTTGGTGTATGTTACACAAGCCTCGCTTAAAAAAAACAATAGTGACAACATAACATATCATACAACTTAAATAATTTAAGTTATATGATTATGTTATGTTGTCGCTATTGTTATTTTAAGCAGGGTTGTGTTGTTACTTTGTAAAACTATGTGTGAAAAAGCTGTGTAAACACTTGTTAATTAATAATTACAAAATGTACTTTCTCGTAGACTTGTTGAAAAAAATATGAAGATGGTCTTTAAAAGTTTGATATTACACATACACAATATCACAAAATAAGAGCAATAACTCTAATAAATTTAAAGCCAAAGTATCTAAAATTCAATAAAACATTAGATTACAGAGAATATTTTCCTAAATTTTTAAGTTTACTGAGTACTTAAAAATTATATATAAATGATGCTCACATTATATTCTTCAATTATTTTTTACAGATAAAGCCCCCTAAAACAACATTGGGCAAACATCCATGTTTTATCATATCATCAGTTTAAATAAAATTCAAATCAGATTAATTATACTTTAAACTAGCTCAAATAGCTATTCCTCAAATAAAATTTCAGAAAATTATATTTTACTTTTGGAAGATTTTTTAATAAAAATAATTACACTGGGACAAACATGGGCTAAAAATGGCACTAAAATCAAATTTCTTAGCAAAAAAATCTTATTCCAATCACTTTAAAATAGTTTTGAAATGTTGAGTTCCATCTATATATGTGGCGGAGTGCAAAATCATCCAATCTACTGCTATCTCTATTTTTTTGGCACTTCAGTTTATATGGCAGTTTGAAGAGATATTTTTATTAAATTAATAGCAGTAAAATTCTAAAAGAGATGTTTAACATCAGTGTTGGTAGTAATTGTTACAAAAGTGATAAAAATGCTTTTCTTGTAAAAGTATCCAGAGATATGATATGAATTTTTATTCTATGTTAGGGAATCTATATTGACTTTCATTTATTGCAACAAGAAATGAACAGAAGTTATACACTCACATATGTATTTGTAAAGATATTGTATTGGGATTGGTTTGGTTAATAGGTAATTAGCATAAAGAATGCTATAACTAGAGCTCACAGGCAACTTTGAGTCTGTGCATGTAGAATAACTACAGCTACTAAGTTTGATCATCATAACAAAATGGTGTCGCCTGACAGAGCTCTGAAAACGTAAAGATTTGGATAAAATGGCTTGAGGTGTAGCATATTGGTTAGCTTGCCAGTGATCTGACACACAAGTAGGCAAGCGTAGCAAAAGCTAAACTGACTTGAGTCATTTCATGGAGAAATATATGGGTGAATAAAGACCACTCATGCAAATGTATTGGGCAGGTCCATTCTGGCAAAATAAACCAACCTAACTGGTGTATTAGACACTCTCCTTTAAAATGAGGTAAAATCAGCTGGCTTGCTTGACAAGGAAACAGAAGTTTTTACTCCTTTTTTCTTGCCTGACCGTGTTAGACGTTTATTCTGTCTCTCAGAGGATTTTTATTTTGAACTTTTGACTGCCTTAATTTAGCTAAGTTTTGATTTATTTTACCGTTTTTCTAACGTTGCTTTTTGACTTTTTGTTAAATTTTTCATTTTTCTAACGTTCTTTTTTTGATTTTTTCCGTTTCAATTCCTTACCCATTTTTTTTTTACCTTTACTTCATTTTTGCTATTAGTTATTCCTTTTTTATTTTTTTGATTTTCTTTTACGTTTTTCTTTTTAAATCTATTTTCTTCCCGTGCCCACACCCCGGAGTTTATCTGTTTATTTTTCGTCTTTACGTTTCTCGTCCGACCTTTTTTTTTCCCCTTTATTTATTTATTACGTGTTAATTATTTCTGCGTTTTTCATTTAAATATCCGTATAAATTCTGCGTTTTATCTGTTAATTACGTGTGTATAATATTTGTTTTTGAATTTTGTGTTTAATTTGTAATTTCTGTCTTTTTTCCTTATTTAACGTTTTTGTTGTTGGGTTGACCGTTTTTTATCGGCAGCCATATTGTAAATTGTCACATTTTTAGTTTCGTATTTTATTTTGTATAGCGTTTTTTCTTATTTTTCCGTTTATAACTTTTCGTTTTATTGTGTAATTTGTTGCTTTTTTGTCTGTTGTCCTTTTAATTTTTGTTCTTTCTTCGTTTTTGTGAACCTTGTTCACTTTTTCTCGTCTGTCCATTTGTTTTGCGTTGTCGTTTTATCTGTTTAAATTTGTTTTTCCTTTAGGAGAAACTTGTTTCTTTTTTCGTCTTTTTAATTTTTTTATACGTCCTTCTGTTTTACTTTCATCTGTCGATCTTTGTTTGTTAGTTAAATTTGTTGTCTCGCTAATAAGCGAAACTTTATTCCCCCCCCCCTTTTTTTTCCGAACTTTGTTTGGCCTTTGTTTGTGTATTTTTTTGCGAGCCCTTGCTTGTATTTTGTATTTATTGATTTTTCCCCCGTGAACTTTGTTAACCTTATTTTTGTCTATTTTGTTATTTTTGCCTATGGGCGACATTTATTAATTTACCACCCCTCCCCTTCCTTGTAAAAATGGAAAAAAAAGAAAAAAGAACTCTGTCCTTTTTAATGAAAAAAAAGAAACCAGTAATGGCCAATCTTAAAAAATCGGTCAAAAAACATGTATTCTCAATTAAAAAGGTCCCGCCTGATAAAGATAACATAGAAGAATATCCAGAGTTATCAAAGATTCCGACAAATGAAGAAATGGTAGAGGCATTAAAAAAAGCTTCTAAATCTTCGGTGGACGAAAAGAGCCACAATGTAGATACCAGAAACAGCTCAAGTGAAAATACAGAGGCCGGGGAATCGACCTCTTGTTGGAAGCCCCCCACCAAAGTTGTGATCAATATAGCGGAGTTCATGGAGCGATCCAAGAGTTACGCTCACCTTGTCGTAGAAGGTGGACTCTTGGAGGACCCCATTGAACTGAAGAAGATTGATAAAAGAATAGTGTCGGTCTTTGTTGCCGACAAAGTTTAACGCGCAAAATTTGTCGATTCGACTAAAGACACAGTGGTGAAATCCCTGCAGTCCCTGGGGTTTA